ATAGTTACACTCTTAACAATTTTTCAAACGTAAACTTTGTTAATATCAAAATTATCCTAAAAGGTGATATAACAAATATTAGCGGTGCCTCGGAGTCGCCACTCGAGTGCAAAGGGTTAATATTATTATATTTCGTAAAACTTCGCGTTTTCTTGAAAATAAAACCGTGGCACCCAGGGGGCAGGACGCGCCAAATGGGTGCAAGACGGCAGTCGATGGGTTAACGAACGGTTCGCGATAATTTACTGCAGAATCGTTAAATTTATCTTACATTAGACTACGGATTTAGCCGAACCTTATAAGAACGCTACAGATTAGCTGACCGTGGACTACGGTCATTAAAGCTGAGAACAATGCAGCACCCGACGAACGAATCCTTCGAAATAATTTACCGTTTCGCGCACTCGAAATCTACTCGCTACCGTCATAAAGCCACGAACGTTTCCTCGGTTCGGCTCTGGGCCCTGGCCAATATAATGACCGATGGCCATAATCCTTGCGATATCCTCTTTAAAGTCGACTTCTATAGCAAAGTGGTACCCTGTACCGACAGATGTTTCCAATAACAGTTTTTCAAAAGAAGGGACCCGTCGTTGGAACACTTTCCCACCTTATTTTAATAACCCCAGGGCTAATAACGCGGCGGGCCGGGCCGGGGCGGTGGTTGAACAGCTGTTGCGACCATAAACGAGCGACAATATTGAGATACAAAGCACTCGGGGAAAGTAGGAAAATAATTATCCTCTTGTTTGCGTAACGCGAGCATACTTCTCGTAATAATCTTCGTTTGCAATTTAACGCGAATTGCAACGCCGTGTTTCCCGCTCTATGAGATAGTGTAAGATTATAAAAACGGAGGAAGGTGATTATGTTTTTAGCTCGGCGAACGTAGTTTAACAATTCGTCTGGATATTTTAGACAACGATTGAATTATCAATTAACACTATGCAGTCCGCGGATATTAGATATAATTCTTTTGTTCGACGCCGGCATAATAGCTTGGAAATGTTAGATTTAAAAAAAGAAAATTTCGAAGATGGCGGTAATACAAATTCCTAAAATTAAGATATGTCATTCAAGAATTTTCGTACTTAATTCTTAGTTAAATAAGCGCGATGCTATAGTCAGTTTGCTGCCTTTTAACACCGAAGAAATATAGTTCAAATGTTATTTCAGTTTTTTAAAATCGCACCAACAGATAGTTTTTGCATGGCACCAGCGTGATGCCACCGGACGGCATAGTGTTAATAGTAACCCGTTCCACTATAATGTCGCTTATTAGACTTGCTGTGATTGGCTCGGGCACTCGCCAAGAGATGGATACCATTTCGCTTCACCATTTGTATACAAATAAAAAAACATAGAATTCTTAATTTTCTCTCGAAAATTACAATTTATACATGCCGTCCTTAACACGTTCCGTGCCGAGCTTTTTTTACTCGAATCTTCACACTTTGATATTTTACTAAAACTTGATGTATTACGTGCAATTATTAATTCTCGTACACATAACAACATAATAAAAACTTATCAACGCCCATTCTTGCGGTGGAAATTGATTCTTCGGTTCTAAATTTCTTGTAAACAATTTGTTCGGTTCACTAAGTAAACATGCAAGCGTGTACCATCGATGGTACACGTGGCACGGAACGTGTTAACCGTCCTTCGTTAGAACGATTTTTACTTACGCTATTTACTTGGAATCGAAATAAAATTCGTCTCTTCAATCGTGAACATTTAAACGTTAAAGCGAAGACGGTTGGCATAGAATAAATATTTTCTAAATAAATGCTAATAAATAACACGGAACGATGCAGCAGTTCTTGGCAAATAAATGCTTTGAAATTTATCGTTTCGCGCACTCGTAATCTACTCGTTTCCGTCATAAATTCATAAACATTTCCTGGGTTCGGCTTTTTGGGCCCGGACTAATAATGACCGTTGGCCATAATTCTTGCGATGTCCTCTTTAGAGTCGACTTCTATAGCAAAATGGTATGTACCCTGCACCGACAGCTGTTTCCAATAACAGTTTCAACGCTAGAACTATCGAGCCTTGAACACCACTGATGTACATTGTTTCACAACAATGCCAAGACTGGAGATTTATTTCAGCTTCGTACGATTTATATTTTCATAAGTACAGAAATGTCCCCCTAACTGACGCTAGGCTTGTCCATAAAAATGGACAATTTAGGGAGAAGAGAGACGAGATTATTCGATCCTTGCGGTTCATTTTTATAGTCGCGAATTGTCAATAACTATAAAAACGAGCTGCAAGGATCGAATAATCGTATTCTCCTCTTCTCAAAGTGTCCATTTTTGTGCACAATTTAACGCTTTGCACTCGAGTGGTGACTCTGAAGCACCATTAAAATTGTTGTATCACGTAATAATTTTTATATTAACGAAGTTTAGATTTAAAAAATTGTTAAAAGTATAACTGTTGTTACGAGTCGTCACAAGACTCAATTTCATATGCATAAAATGTTCTTTGTCATACGAAATGGAAATACTATAAGTTAGAAAAATTGATTTAGATTTACAGTTAAAATGGCTTCGAGTGCAAAGGGCTAAGCGTCAGATAGGGAGACATTACTGTACCTAAAAATTTCACCTACAAATATTTTTACAAAATATCAGAAACCGTGAATGAAACGAAAAATCGGAAATCAGTTATTTCGACTGGCCTGATGGTTCCACTGTTAAACACACCAGTCTTATTTAAACATATAAATAAAATCGATCGCCATAACAGCTGTTTCTTGTGTCCTGTAAATGTATTGGGCTGGCAACTAAGTAATTGCCGATTTGTTCAATGAAATAAAAAATTTGTTTACTTGGAACGAAGTTTAATTTGTAATGTATTTTCCATTTTGTTCGACGACCCTTTGCCATCTCTCCGACAACTTGAAAATTCCACGCTCGTAGAAAGTCCGATTCTTTTCGGCCAAAAACTGAGTTAAGTGAGATTTTACAGCGTCATCGTCGTTCAAAGTTTTACCACGAAGGGAGTTGTCCAGGGATCGAAACAAGTGGTAATCCGATGGCGCGAGATCAGAGCTATATAGTGGGTGTAACATTGATTCCCAAGCAATATCCATCAATTTTTGCCGAGTGG